GCTGTTGAGTGTGGACTGTGTCACTGAACCTTGGGAAAGAATCCCATCTGAGAGGGCTCCTATTAACTGCTCTTATGCTGATGCAGGACACTGGGGTCAGAACATCTCTAATTTCAACAAAGAGGGTTACTTCTGAGTCCTAGGTAGCTCCTCCAGAGAAAATACCACCTCTTGTTGCCATCAGAGGCTGCTGCATCAGTTACAGGAATCACAAGAGGGTTTTTGGTCCTGAGCAACCCCCGCAAGGCAACAGAAAGCTTTCTCCCAGCAACAGGCCTTTCTCAGTGTGCAGCAAGTCCACAATTTCAGGCCAAAATGTTTCTAGATACTGTTTTTCCAGTTTGGTGATGCATGCCCCCACCCCAAGCCTGCACCCCGCAGATGTGCTGACAGTATAAAGTGAAGCAAGGCAAACATTTTAAAGCTCCACCTCCTGAAAAAGAGATTTTAAGATTATCAAAGGCACTATACCATAGGATTTATAGATCAAAACCAGGTGCTGCTTTATCAAAGGACAGCGTTACCTTGAGTGCAGATCTGCAGCCATAAGGATGTCCATTTTCCAAAGTCAATGAAGACAGAGAGACAACAGATTTTACTTAAACTATATATTTTTACATAAAACAACTTTATGTTACAATAAAATCAGATAAAAATCACAAAGTTATATAATAAGTTCATAAAGAAAAAAATCAAGTTTTCCTTTTATATATATAAAACCCAGCATTTACTGCTACTAGGAGTCTAAATGTTAACATTGACTGTCTATGGTCAATTTGAAACAAAAAAAGAACATAAGAAGAGGAAATTACTTTTTCACAGCAGACAAAATGACGAGGTAAGAGATGTTTTTACAATTATCCAACTGTAGCAAACACTTCAGTTTTCATTGAACCATATACTAAATATAATAAACCCAAATAAAAATATACATTTAAAGCACTGCAGTGTTTTCCCACAGTTGTGTATCAACAAATTGTCATTCACTAAACTTTACTTGAAACAGTAAAAACAGGGTGTATGTTTAGTACTAAAATCTCATAATAATCTAAATATTTTGGTATAGCAGACCACACTAAACACTCTCGGAACTTTCAACTACAAGGGTTATATTCATGTTAAAAACAATGTGCTTTGTTTGTCATTCATGATGAGTTTTATAGAATATTATGTTCATGATCACTATTAGGCAATTAAATGAAAACATCTAAATGCTGCAAAATACTCTCTTCTTGAGCATAGGTCCTTTGTCACATAGCCAAGTTCATGAACATACTGCAAACTTAGAAGCTGAGTTCCCAAATCTTACATTATCAGTCTTTTTAGCTAGTATATGGCTAAAATAATTATTGCTGACTGGTGTTAAAAACCAAAACAAACCCAAACAAAAGTGTAACAGCAGACAGGTTTTTGTCAAGAGCCTTTCTTGTACGTGCCATTATTACAGGTAAGTAAATGATCAGGAAGGAAAAAAATCTATTTTGAAATGTGCATATAAAATTTCTGGAGATATAGGCACCTTCACCTGAAGACTACATTTAGGCTTTCCAGTAAGAAAAAAACCAAAACAAAACCAAAAATAAAAAAGGAAACAAGAAGCAGAGCTAAGACAAAACACAGTAGAAAGTCAAACAGGTTAGACATCAGCTTAGACATCCAACATCCCACAGGGACGCAAGCAAAGCTCTCCCAGCCAGGACCCTGACTGCAGCCTGTTGAGAGCCATCATTTGAGAAGCACCTTCATCACATTATCATTCACTTCCTGACTCTGTATTTCACTTCTGGTACCTTATCATTTACCACAGAGAATGGCATTTAAGACATGCGAACTTTGTTTAACTGTCAAGTTTACATTCTAATGCTGAGCCTAAAGTACCGCTGTGCTCCTGGGGCACAGGACTCCATTTGCAACATTCCCAGCCAGGCTCTGCCACCCATCCAGGGCTCTCCATCTGAAGGTGTGTCTGGATTAAATGTCTTGTGGGTATGTATTGCTCTGCTTGACACACTGGTGCTTGTTAAACATGGAAAGAAAAAATACGTTAGGTTAGCTCTGTCTTACTGTTACTAAACTGTGACCCACCAGCCCAGCCTGGAAGCCCTCGCTGCCACACAGCCCTCCAGAAGGTGAACATGCCCTTCTGCAGGGTCTCTGGTACTCCTGAGCTTGCGGGACGGCAACAGCTTTTCCTATTTTTGACTGGAAGTGGCTGACCGTAAACCAGGGCATTGCTGCAATGCTCTCGCGCTGCTCACCTCTGTGTGTGGGCATTCACCTTCCATCCCTCACACTGCCACATCTGTGACATGCTGAGGACTTTTTGATAGACAGGCTTGGCAAGCCCAGAACTGCCCAGACAAAGACGGGTGAGCTGACAGGTCAGCGTGACCATCCTAGACCTTTGGCACATCCACAGCTTGTAGGCAGAGCACATCTTTCACTGAAGCTTCTGCTGAAATGACTGTCAAAATTAGCTGCTGCTGATCCCCCCCCTTATACCTCTTCCCTTCAGATTCAGCATCACTCACACGCTGAGCTGAGCCAGGCATTTCACCCTGATAGCACTTTTATCTCTGTTAATCCGTAGGCTCAGGAAGACAGCACTATATTCCTTACAAGCCATTGATGCTTTGAAGGGTTTTGCAGAGATAAGCATTTGGAAGAGCCTAACGAAGAGCAGTCTTGTAGCTGAGAAACTCCCGCCAGTATGAGGTGGCAGTAACAGGGAGCTTTTCTCCTGTCATTCATGAAGCAGCCAAAGGTGGCAAGAAACTAATAAAGGAGAAAATGAACACTTGAAATACAAAACAGTTACACAGCATAGCGTGCAGAAACCTACAGACAACTGTTGAGAGGGAGACAGGGGCTCCCTGAACCCAACAAGCCATAGGACGAGCATAGGGTGAGCACCTGCTTTAACACCACAAATGCTTTTGCTGATGCTCCTCCAAAGCAATGGCAGTGGCAGGGAGAGCAGGGAGAACAGCAAAAGCCACTCCCGCCCTTCTTAATTCATTGTGCAGCTTTAAAAAGCATTCACCCTAAATCACTCACATTAAAATAAAATCAGGTGTTTGTCTGGAAAACAAGCATTGTCTAAATAACATTTGTTTCTGAGCACAGATGCACCCAGTGTAAATCTATCTTTAAAAAGGCATCTTTTGAATGCTAGAATATAGAAAGTGAGAGGTGGCAATGGAATTCTTACAGAAGAGACAGTTTCCTTCCAGTGAGCTCACTCAGTAAAGGAGACACCAATTAGATGTAGACACTGAAAAGTACTAATTTTGCTGAAAATGCATTTTTAGACCAAACAAAAAACTATTTGTGAAGTTGAGTCGGAATCAGCAAATAAAGATCCAGCCAAACAAAAAGAGCAGAAGGTTAACCTCCTTTATTCTGGGGTGTGAAAAATGTCTGTTTTTCATTTGGAAATAATTTATTCAAAGATGAGACTAAGGTCATTTTCCAAAATGTGAAATAACAGATCTAACAGAACATTCGTTGCCTTAAAAACAATTATGTCCCTGTATTTTTATGTCACTGAATATTTTCAGGCTTTGTGCTAGTACAAAGTAGACCTGTTTGTTTCTCTTTTTGACCACCAAAAAACCACCCCCCCACCATTATTCAGCAGCTCTAACACCAGCTCAAAGGAGCATCGCATTGGTAAGCCTGGAAGGCAGTAAGATGCTCTCTAACACAGTGTCAGAAGAGGCCAGCACAGATTTCTCTTGCTAGAGCCACCAGGTGGTTGCTGGCTCTGGGGCCGCGCAGGCAGGATGGGCAGTGAGGTTGGATCCATGGTGGTGCAGCCGACAGGTATCAGCACGGGAAGTGCCAAGCACAAGACCCTTATTAACAAAAGACCATGTAACTGAGGTAGGATAGACCTTGCCATCAACCACATAGAGGGAAAAAACTGTGTCCAGAAAGAGAACCCGTGACTGATTGCCCAAGCTGAGATACACCTTGTATAAAGATGCCTCCACTCAGGCTCGATGGATTGCTGACAGCATGGGGAAACCAGGGTTTGCCCAGCACTGTGTTTTAATAACAAATAAAAACATGCTCTGTAGACCCTCTCTTGGACAGGGATGAGCATTTCTTGGCCCCAGCAGCGTTTGGGGCCATCCCTAAGCAGGTAGCTGCCAGCTGAGTGCAGCTCCTGGTCTCGGGTGCCCACAGGGATGGGCTGAATCCCCAGTGAGCACAAAAAGAGGAATAAATGCATCCATAGGACGGTGCAGACATTTTGGTGGGGGAAGGCTGGCTGCCTCAGTGCTCCCACTGGGAAGGAGGAGGCATTTCGACATTGGGATGAGTCCCTGAGGAGTGGAGGTCACAGTATGACCGCAGGGGTTATTGCTGAGCCACCACAGAGCATCAAGGAATAAGCAGTGAGACCAATGGTCCCCACCCAGCAGGCACATGGGGCTCCTATCTGGGGCAGGAATGAGGCCAGGCTGGCATCCAAACAAACACTTCTGAGCGCACCCACTGCCTCTTCCTAGCACACTTTGGAAAAGTACAGTGAGAGAGGCAGAAAGGTTAAAAGAGATGGAGTTTGGGGGAGGTTTTAAAGTGATTATACATAGAAGCTCCAACTTACTGCTGTTGGGAAGAGAGAAAGAAGGTAATTATAGCAAGACCTTGGATGGTGGAGTTTCTCACAGCATATAGCTCTATCCTTAACAAACAACTCGGTTTCCTTAACAAACAACTCAGTTTCAGAGCAATAGTAGATAAGGAAAGCATACATTTGGGACAAAACTAGAAGAGACAGGGTAGAGATTTCTCTAAGGACACCCCCACCATTTCTCTGGTGGGCACGAAGCACCCAGAAATAACCACCCTTGTCAGAGCTATGCACTGGTTTAATGCACCAGCATTAAGCTCCATCTGTTAAATCGATGCAGTCCCATAGAAACACTTTTCTTGCATTTTAAGAGTGGCTTAATACATTCATAATGAACTGGATCTGAGATAGACCCAGCTAAAGTGGAAAAAAAGATCTGGATTAACCCCATCTACCCAGGTTCCTGTTAAAAGTCGTATTTTATATTAAAACCAGGAAGGAAGCCCTAAGACTGCTCAACAAGAAAAAGGAGCCATAAGATGGAGCAGGGTCCTCAGTGCAAAAGCAATAAACCACTGTTGACGAGGAGGGCCCTGACTGGCTGTACTGCTTGCAGCTCTTCCTTGTGTTATCCTGTGATTCCCAGGTGATGCAGGGATCAGCTGCAGTTCAGGAACTCTAAAGCAGCATGGAAGAAGAGGAGAAGCAGGACCATTAACTTCTTGTGAAATTATGGTGTTTATCTGACTTGCTATAAAATAAAACCCCTAAAAATGCAGATTACTTGTGCACAATCACACAGAGTTTCTGATGTCATTCTCAATTTTGAGCAGTCTGATCTAACCCCACATTATGCAACTGCTGACTCTTCCCTACTGGCAAAGTCTAATTTTCACACGCCTCCATGCTATGGACCTGGTTTTTATTTGTGTTTTTATTTGTATTTTTATTTTTAAATATCAAGAGCCTACGACACTTTTTTTTTAAAGAGGTCACAATGCAAGGTCCTGGCTTCACATCATTGTTTAAAAGGAGTAAAAGCAAAAATACACAAAGTAGTCCAGTCTAAAAACCAGGGATTGAAGGTAATGCAATGGTAACAGATAAAAATTCAAGGGACAATTGCAGACAGAACCTATCTCCAGTACAGGCATTATATATCCACGTGTAAAAGATACGCAATGCATGTTTCATAATAACTCACCTTTCTTTTAAAGGTCACTTTTATAATTGAGATGTGCTGAGAAAACAAAAAAGCCCCTAAGTAAAGCATGACCATTTTATATCAATCACTGCTGGAATGCACTAACACTGTGCTTAACTCACCTTTCACCTGAATTCAGCAAATAATAATGTCATATAAACAAAAGTTCTCTCCTGAATTAATTCAGATCCCATGTAAACAGATTCTCAAACCATGTTATGGAGAAAGAAGAGAAAGAAGCTGAAAGCAGTCATAGGGGCAAGAGCAAAACTTGGTCTGAATTATCTCTGGCCATTTTTACATCCCTGTCTGTGACAAAGTGGACTTCCTTCTCACTGGAGCCCAGTGTATGACCTTGCATTTCTCAACACATGCTTAGAGCTGCTGAATAACCGGTTTGAGCATACAACTGCATTTCTGCTGTTTGGGTTGGGGTTTTTTTGGACAGTCTACCTTTGTAACCAGTTCCCACCCTGTCAAAGACACGCAAGGTGAGAATGCATAAATCATTGGAAAGGATTTTGATTTCATGTGGTCATGACCCTGCCAGACTCCTGGACAGAAACATGCTTCTGAGCAACACCTTCAAGAAACCTTATATTGCTTTTCAGATCAATGTCCCCTTCACTACTGCAGAAGTTAATCAACAGTGATCAAGTTGCACAGAGGTGCACGCACCCTGTGTGGAAGCCAGTAACATATCACTTTCTAAAATACATATCTGGTCCCAAGACTCAGGTGGGCATTTTTCAGAGATGCACATAATGATGGCACTATATGGGTTCAAAACTGAAGGCCAAGGAGAGATGGCCTTGCCAAGCAAGAGAAGCTGTCCTCACCTACGGAGTAAGATGCTTGACTTGAAGAGCTGAAATACATTTCTATGTCATTGACTTTGTGCTGTATGGGTCCAGACAAGCACATGCAACCTATATTGGAGGTTATCTGATCTCCACTGGATTTATTTTTTGGTGAATCAGGCCTGATTGACATGGTCCCTAAGGATACTGAGACCTGTGTGAAGTGATTCACTTGAAGCTCATCACAGGCACATTTTACACACTGCAGGAGTTCCAGCTAATCTCTAATCTTCTCTCTGCTCCACCAAGGAATAAAAGTTGACGTTGTTTAGGATTGCCGATAGTCCAGACAAGAAAAAGACTAGTTTTCTGTTTCTATGGTTGCAACAGCCCTTAAGAAAGATATAAATTTCCCTGCAACAACTAACTGCATATTCATTTTAAGGTAGATCTAGTTCCAGATTCCTGAGACGGAACCCTCTACCTGTTCCCAACCCCACGAAGCCAGAGCAGCAATATATGAAGTTTCTAATCTCAACAAAATTCAGTGAGCAGCACGATTGGTTTGAAAAATAAACAAAACAGATGAAAGAAACAATCCCAAAACCCCCACAGCAAATTTGCAGCCTCTATGTACAAAACCAATGCAAACAAGTGGAACATTCTAGTTATATTTTGTAAAACACACATTTGGGATCAACAAAACATCAAACATCCAGACCCTAGATTACAAAAAAAAATCTATTGCCATCTAATTGTCAACCCCGAGTTTAGACAGTCCTTGTCGGAAATCTTGTAATTCATCTATCTTCCCATCTAGTATATCTAAAAAATTCTTTAATTCAGTTTTAAGGTTGGTCTGCCTATGTTTGCTCTCTTCGACTTCTGTCCTTAGTGTTCTGACTTTCTCTTCAAGATCTTTGTTCTTTTTCTCAGCAGCCTTAAAGACAAAAGAGACAATAAGATGAATCACAGAGAAGGATGAACAGCATTTAATAGGGTAAAGCAACAAATGACAGCTGGGCTGTAAAAGTTTTGCTTCGACTTCTGCAAACTGATTAACAAGAGCAAGTGATGTGCTAGTCAGATGAAAAGGAAAGAAAGCCCACGCAGGAAAGGACACATATTAACTGGAAAAGATGCTTTGCATCAGATTTTGTCACTTGGTGGGTATCTTAAAATTCAGCTGGATTTAAGTCATGCACTGTGCATATATTCCTGTCATTGCTACAGCTGCAGAATTAGACACTGTGCCACCAATTATATACAGTATTATCTATGGTGGTTTAACACTGGAAAACAAGCTTAGAAAATACTGGCTGAGGAATAATATTGCTTTATTCAGCGCCTTTGGATTTATTGGTATTTTTTGAAGTTCCACTCCCTATGAGCACTCGTGCAAGGAACAGGACACCCATGTAACACCTCCCTTGCTGCAGTTCATTCAATTATTTTCCCCTCTCATTAGCTCTTCTGCCTATTGTTTTCTATTGCATACATGTAAGCACATATTCTCATCAAAAGCCGTAGATGACATACTTTACCATCCTGAACCAAACGAAATTCATGTTTCTACAGTATCAGTATCTGCACTCCTCAGGAGCCTTCTAAATGATTTTAGAGTGTTTAGATTATCAGAATTATGGCTTATTTGTTTGATTGGATTTTACTTCATTCATGAGATACTGCTTATATCTGTTCTCCTTTCATTTACTGATTTATTGCATTTGCACAAGCCCTGACTTTAACACATGATGTCCAAAGCCCAGCCACTGCCTGTACAGGGCTCCAGCAGCCCAGTGAGCTCCAGTCCCCCAGCAGAGCTGCTACATGTGCACAACAAAGCCACAGCGAGCTAGTTGATGCTGGCAAGGAATGACACAGCATGTAAATGCATCCTCAGGTCAACTTCTTTCCCTGGTTATGTGCAACCGTGCTCATCCATTTCTTTCCAAAAAGCCTTCCCTGGTGCCACTGTGGCAATTAGCCACAGGTCTTGGTGTGTTGCTCGACCCACATGGCTCTGGTGCAGTTCCACAAGCCCAGGCCAGTAGAAATATGGGATACAGGATAGCCTGAAATCTGCAGGAGATAATAGGCAACACAATCCCAGGCAAACCAATTTCTGCAGACAGCAAGGCAAAGAAATGGAGCTATTTACTTACTCCTGTGCTGAGAAGGGCATGGTATATTTTGCATGTAATTAACATTTTACAAACTAGAGCTCTTTTGCCTCCAAACACTGAGGTCTGAACAGATAAAAGCATATATTTATGAAAAAATAAATGTATCAACTATTTGAAAATAAATTTAATTGCTTAACTGTACCTGTAATTGTTGAGATACAGATTCACATTCTGACATTAGCTGTGGTATAATTTCACCCTGCTTTCGAAGCTCTTCCAGTTCCTTTGAAAGCATAAAGAAAAAAAAATACATTAGTGCAAGCTTCAATTTAAAACATAATGGAAATTTGGGACTGTGAAATGGCTTTGCATATTTTATTGTATTCTGCAAAGCATGTGGATGTAAAATAATCAAAATAGAATGTCTGCATTCCAAAACACATCATTTAATCACAGAATGGTTGGGGTTGGAAGGGACCTCTGGAGATCATCTAGTCCAACCTCTATGCTAATGCAGGGTCATCTAGAGCAGGCTGCACAGGATCATGTCCACGTGGGTTGTTAATATCTCCAGGGAAGGAGGCTCCACAACCTCTGTGGGCAGCCTGTTCCAGTGCTCTGCCACCTTCAAAGTTAAAAAGTTCTTCCTCATACTCAGATGGAACTTCCTGTGTTTCAGTTGTGCCCATTACCCCATGCATATATGTCTGTATATCCACAAATAACAGCAGGGAGCTTACATCTCAAAATATAATTATATTCTACTATATATGCTTACTATATATATAACTACTATACTGTAATACTTACTGTATATGGTATATTACTGTGTGTATATATAGATACACTATATATAATATATGGCACATGATATATACATATATATACACACATATATATACACATTATAAATATTGCACTAGTTAGCTCTGTCCTGATTCCCATGTCTTTACATTTTCCTCTCTGCATTTCCTACACAAAGAGGATATCAGCAGCTCCTCTTGCATGGCAATGTCCATGAGCAGGCTTCATGCTGGTTTGAATTGCAGACCATGAAAAGGTTACTTATGGGTGGTGTAGACCTAATGAAGCACCTGCTAATGTGAGTATGCAGTCTGAAAACAAGTTGGTATACTGCCAGTGTAAATGGAAGATAGGTATGCAATGTTCACAAGTCAATCAATTTTCTGGTTCATTTGGTACCATAAAAATGTGAATCTTGAAGAAATCACTAGCAGAGTGTAAGGGTTATTATACACGCTATTACCACAGAAAGGTTGGGAAGAAAGCACAACATTTTCCTTTGAAATATGGGGCTGAAAAAGATTATATTCATAATCTTCATCAAAATCCATCTCCTTAAACTATTTCCTTGTGCTATCTTAAAACCCCTTAACAGCACTGTTTTTAAGAGCACTAGCAGAGATGCTGCAATGGCACATGGCAAACTTTACTGCACCTGCTGAGAAGCTTTTTCTCTTCATCCAGCACAGAGCATTTGGTCACTGTAATGAAGGAAAAAACCAAGGATCCCTTTATTTTCACCACTGTTCAGGGGCTTGCAGCCATCAGTATCATTCTCCTTAGAAAAATGGACACCCTGTATGTCAAAAGGACAAACCAGGGTACTCTAAATGAATCTGAACTTCTCACTTTTGGCATTAGTCCTGAGATCAGAGGGAGACTGTAAAATGGCAAAGCTGAAGACTACCGGCCATCTGGAAAATAAACAGGACTTGTTACACAAATGCCATATGATTTTGTAAATGATGTATTTTTAATGATGGTGCTGATGTCTATGTGAATTCTGGGATGGGGACTGGCAAAGAAAACTGTTCTCTGCATGCATCTGTCTGGCTTTGGGCAACAAGTATCACCACTTGAGTTCTTCTGTTAGAGGTGAAGTGTTGTATATGAAAGTATCATGTTTGTTAACCACTGCCAAATTGAAGTGTGCTGTCACAGAACACAATACGTCATGAAACTGAGACTGAGACTGTTGCTGAGGAGCTGTATACGAAAAACTAGAAACAGGCAACACCCTGAGACATTTGGCTGCTTCTGGCAGCCCATAAATCTACATTCCAAGAAGCAGACAGACCCAATCAAACTCTAAAGCATGTAATTTCTGGGTTCAGGGCACTTACCAGCTCTTTGTCCTGAAGTTCTGTTTCCAGTTCCTGGAGACGTCTACTCAGCTGTGCATTTCTTTCCTTCTCTTTATTTATTTCATTGCACTGTTCCTCCAGTTCTTCAATCTTTAAGAAATATCAGACATTAGGTGAAACTTTGCAGATTTCTGAGAATCTGGGGCAGAACACAGCTGATGGAAATGGGCACTGCTGCAGTGAGCAGAGGGAAGCATGGACGATTTTAATTTGTCATGGATCTGTTTCCTAAATCATAGCACTTGATTCACTGCACTCAAACTTATCGCTTCTTTCCTTAAAAAGAGCCAATTTACGCTTCCACTAGGAAGCCCCGGGACTGTGTTTATTCTCTCTTGCACAGTATCTCATATAAGTACTCAGGAATGCACAAAACACTGAGCTGCTAAAATAAGCAGAGCTGGGGATTAAATCTGCATTTCACTTCTGCGAAACCAACACAAGACTATAAGGGATGGGCTTTCTTAACACAGCAAGGAGAAGAAATCTCTCTGGTGCTCCCAGCTTTGCCTCCTCAGGGGTTGCTTATTATTCTAGCTGGAGTTCAAGGGACAGACACATCATCCAAACTCTGGGGAGAGAACCAATTCAGAGCAACGTATGCCGCTTTGTTCTCTTGCCCAGGGATGTGCTTTGCTCTCTCCATACGTTCTGCTACCAGCGCTGGGCTTCGCTCTCAGGAGATGGGCCAGCTCATTAAAGTATGTGCTTTAATTCTAAGCTTCATGTTGCTTTGGGATTATAACTTCCTTTATTTGAAGGTAGAGCAATATGCAAAAAATTCTGACCCAATTAATAAAGGAGACGGAACTTCCCAGGGCACTGCAGTGGTGCAGCACGAGCACCAGGGAAGGAGCCTACTTGGGAGTAAAGCTCAGAAAACCTCTTATATAGAGAAAGACAGCACATTATACAGACAGCACTGCTGCACAGCCTGGCTAGTCATTGGTATGATGACTTTGCAGCTGTAGTAAGGCAGGGTTTTGATAATCTTTTTCATATGTAGGCTACAGCTACTGAGACGTGGCATGTTTCATCAGCTAATGTTAATGAAAACAACTTTTCTGTGCAACAGTACAGAAAACTAAAAACCTACACTGCAATAAATCGTATTTTCTTATAACATTCTGTTCCAGTCTCTCACTTCTCCCCTGACCAAAAGAGATCGGATATAGGATCCCAAACCATGTTAACAACTAATACTATTTTTTAATGCAACAACAGTTAATACAGCTCTGGATTGGTCTCTGAATTATCACTGTGCATACCCAAAATGCATGCAAATAGGTAGAGAGTATCTGCCTTGCCAAAAGGTTGCCCCACGATGCCTCTTGGTAGGTTTCTGGAAAAGATGTGCCCAGCATTAGTGCTGGAGGACCCAGCTCACAGACATGACTGATGTCCTCATTCCCCTGCCCACTGTCAGGATTTGTTTCTAATACTGTATTGTTCCCAGCTTAGTTTCCTATGGGCAACCAGCCCATAAACCACGTCTTCTGCTCATTCATCATCTGGCAGTATTTAAGTGAGTTTTCAAAGGGATATGCAATAGTAATCTCACTTCTAAACCCCTACTGTTTTATCACCTTGTCCAGCAACCCCTCCTAACACCAAGTCTCCCAAATCAAGAGTCAGGGAGCTTCATGTAATGTGGCAGCACCAGTCCTCCCACTGATCCCCAGCCCTTCGAACTTCCGTGCCCGCTGTGTGCAGAGGGAAACAGCTGCCTTAACCCCCCCCCTCGCCCACCTCTCTTTCCGAGACAAAATCTGTCTCCTAACACACAAAGCAGCAGAGATTCAAGAGAAAGAGCAGCGGCAGGATCGCTAACTGGAAGAGATGCCTCTCCTGTGGGTATGATCTGCTACCTTGCCCCTGAGCTGGTCATTTTCCTCCTTGCAGGCTGAGAACTGCTTCTTCCAGTGCTCAATGCTGGCTGCGGACTCCTGCAGCGCTGTGCTCAGCCGGGCGTTGCTCTCCCGCAGTGTCTGCAGCTCCGTCTCCCACTTCTTCACATTGGTTGAACTGAGAAAAACAGGGCACCATCAGATGGCTTCACCTGATCAACCTGTGCATCATTATTCTTTACCTGACTGCAAACTCATCCACCAGTGGTGTGAGCTGACCAGTACTTTTTGTTATAAGATCAAGAATACCCCTATGTATGTAATTGCCTGCCTGAGGAGAACATAAGCCTTAATTTGACTGTCCCTGCTAAAACACAGGGATCTGTCAACTCCAGCAACAGTGACTAGTGTGTTAGAAGCAAAAGTCCTGCTGTGGAAGCAGACCGTAGGGCTGACAGTTGGGATCTCCACCATTGCACTTTCTGCCCACCTCCAGAGCCATGTGGCTGTGCCTCACCAAGTACCTCTGCACTGCAGGCCTGGGGATGTGGTACCCATGCAACAAAGCAACTACACATTTGCAGCTGATATAGTAGTTCAGAACAGAAGATGTCAGCGGTTGAGACTATCTAGATGTGATGGTTTTTTAATGTTCTGTCTTAAATATAAAAGTGTTACATAATGCTGAAGAATTAAACTACTCATTCCCCAAAGCTCCAAGCTGCAGTATAGAGCACAAGAACAGAGTGAATGGAAGCAAGGCTTTGAAACTCCCTCCACGCTAGTTGCTACTTGCCTGTGGAGGTGTCTTCAGCAGGAGGAATGCACAAACGTTATGATTTGAAATAGGTTACTCTATTGAAATGTCAATAAAGAGAGATGGTGTGCTTCAAATATCATATATGCATAATATATGGGCAATGCTGCCTGTGGTGCTGCTGCCTTAATTTAAATAGCTTAAGAGTAGCCTGATCCTGATAGATTGTATTTCCATTGACAGATATATTCACATGTAAGAGGCAGATAAGGCAAGATCCCAGTAGAGAATTATTGTATTTTAATGTTGTAACTTTGCATATTCCAATGCCTGTATTTCCACTATGGCTGCAAATTAACTCTTCTCAGCATTTTCAAATTAATTTATCAAAGCAAATAGCAAAAAAATGTGGCTTCAAGGGGCACTGTCCACAGCTTTAGCAACATTCCCCTAAGACTTCTAAGCAGACTGATGAAATTATATTTCTTACTTCAACTTTTCCAGTTGAGTTCATTCCCTTTTATAATTTTATATATCCATATCTATTTTCATCAAAGTAAATATAGCAGACTCAAAGAGGAAGAGAGATTGGTTTCACATGTTATCAGCAGCAATTGCTCCCCCATGGTTTTAATGTTATTTCTGTAGCTCAAAAACTTCACAAATGAAGGTGGTTCTGAGAGTTGGCATCAGCAGAGTAAAAGATATCTTATTTCAGCACGAAGTAGAACAGGAAAAGACTAAATGGTAAATATCTGTCAACTGCATACCAGGAGGTACTTGCTGAAATCTGCTCATCCATCCATTCTGTTGTATCATTTTAAATTAATGCAATTACATTTGAATAATTTCTGCTAATCTCATTAGCCATCAGATAATTACAGCATGCTATTCCAACGCAATTTAGGTATTAAGGGAACTTCACCTTTGGGCTAGAGCAATTTTTAATTTATCATTCTCAGACTTGAGATGTGCCTCAGCAGGACCTCCATGTGATGCCTTCTCATCGTCTGTCCCGTTCACACTAGATGCTCGAGTGGAAGAGGGTGTTTCACGTCCAGATTCCTGCAGCACAACACACAAATGAATACTGGGTGTCTCCTGCATCTCCCACTACATCAATTTCTTTGTAATCTTGTGCCCACACCACCCTGCTGAGACCTAGGCTGCAGATGCTCTCCTGGCATAACAGTGGTAACAAACACATACCCTTTACATCTTGGCTGCAAAGCTGCTCTGTTTAAAAAAAGAATGAAAAAATATAATGATAATACAAAATGGCAGTCTAAAGTGTTTGAAATATTTTAAGTGTTTTCATGACAAGGTTTGTGTTTTCTGAAGATTTGGTTTTTTTAAGATAATGAAACAATACAGTGCATCTGGAAGCACACAAAGTCCAAACTAAAAACAAAAAAAGAAGGTACTGCTGCTCCATAGAGATACCATTCATCTACTGCCTGGTGATCACCAACTAAGGACAAGGTGAACCATAAAGGCTATAACCAAAGTCTTTAAAAACTGAGTATCTAAAGTAGCCTCTCAGATTAATATTTGTGGACACCACAAAAAGGTTTAGTTCACTCCTGTATGTGAATAATGCATCTGAATTCCTTTCTCATCAAAATACATCTAACGTTCCTCCAAACATTAGCCCAGGCCAAGAACACCCACTGAACAGGATTCATTGTTGCCTAATGCAGTGTTTATGAAATTAAAGTTAAACATATAGAGAGACTGGGACAACACTCAATTTCTTCAATTTGTAAGAAACCCAGATCTCCCTAGACAAGAGGCACTTGGCTTTATCAAGATGTGCTGTCTAGAGAAGTGCGTTGTACAAATACGCCACACAAGCTTCTTCCAGCTACTCACTAAAGCACTGTCTCTGCTCCCACACTACAGCTGTCCAGTAGTCACACCTAGGCAACGAAACACTATGGCCACAAAAGTCAGTCTCACCATTGGCAAACCAAACTCCTACAGAAGTAGATTAGATGACAAAAAGAAGTATCTCGATCAATCTCATTTACTGTCTGCTGAAGCACTACACTCACTTACTTTCCAGTGACCCAAACTATGTGTAACAGTACAAACCAGAAGATGTATGGCTTTCTCTGTTATTAAAAAAGTTATAACAGCACAAGAATTGCTGAAAGAAACTAGATTTTAATGAAGGCAAAGAGCACAGATGGATGAAAAATATTCCTCTGACAATCCTAATGTCCAGCAGCTGACAATTACCTTTGGCTATCTTCATTGTATAAACTTTACGCTTGCTGCCAGAAGCTGGTATAGTCCATTTAGAAAATTTAACTTTAAATTATTTGTCCTGTATGTGTACAGGTATTAAAGCTAAATTACAAACCTGGGAATGATTGCTTGAGGTCTCAATTTTCTCTTGAGATCTGTCTCTTGCTAATTTGGCAGCTTCTTTTACTTCTTGGAATTTCTCTGCAAACTGGAAAAAGCATGAAAGATATTTATCAAAATGATTTATCATCTATTAGCCAATTCAGATTACTGTGTTTATGTGGTTAATGGATCTCCAAAAGTGAGCAACTAATTTTGATAATTTAAAATTTTTGGCGAGAAAAAAGCATTTAAATTCCTTGGCAGGGAGGTTCTTTCAAAAGGAATGGGGGTGCTTCTAAAGGAGGGACATCTCTGCAACTCTGGCCAGTCACGGTAAAAACCCATGGAGAAAAAGGAGCTGTTAGTGTCTCCTGGTTTGATTTGGTTTTGTTTATTTCCTCCCCCTCCTCCGTTTCACTTGGTGTTGACAGTCTATTAAATTTGGAAGTATAAAAGGCATATGTTTGGACAAAAAAAATCATCAATGTCTTCTATTCCTAAAAGCAAGTCAATTAAATTAAGGAATGCAAATGAGATCCTCTGCAGGCTGCAAGCAAGGGATTATCAAGAGATAGATACAAAAAATGAGAAGGCAGATCTGAATGTATGATGGGGCCATATGAAAACATAGCTTTTCTAGTATAATTTTCTTATTTGTGGCAAAAATGAAATAAAGGTAGAAGACCTCAGGGAAAGGACTGAATGCATCCTGTAAGGAGGTTATATCAAGCTGGGGAAGGCCGGGGAAAAGAATGATAAAGATGAAAAATAACGATCCCAATCTCTACAAGTTGCTATAGGACATCTGCTCTGAAGCCAGCCTGGCACTTTTGAAATACAAGTATTATCACAGTCCATCAGGATTGCAGGGTTTTAAACACTTCAAGCAGTGTTTAAAGTTTTGAAAGGATGATTGCAAACATGGAAGAAAAGGTGTAATATGTTATTTTTTTAATTAAGATGCATCCAGTATGAGAATGGATAACTGTCTTTCTGCTAAAACAGTTTGGTCTTGTTTGCCTCTGTTTTGAGAAACTCTAAATGCTAGAGAGAAAAGGCATGTTAAAAGTAAAAATATAAATATCTGTATTTTATTGTGCAGTTTCTGGATGGAAGGACTGCCATTATATCCTCAGATAAGTCAGAACATTTATGATGAAATTGTAAATAAATGCATGAAAAAATTCACATTTTATAGTTAAGGAATGGGAAGAATCATAACCCACTTACTAGCCTTGTCTTCTGACTTACAGATTTACAGCAGGTATTTAGCATGCTCTCTCTCAGTAAAATATTGGGACCATAAAAGCTGGTGAAACAAATCTTCTCCAACTGGTCTAAGAGAAATCTGGATTTATATGTGGAGGAACCTGTGTTTTGTGTAACACACACAAATGGAAACTTCCAACAAACCCACATACATCATTCTCAACCCCCATGGATGAAATTTGGGGTGTAGAGTATGGCGTGTGATGATGCTCAAGAACTGGATTGAGTTCTCGAATCCAACTGTTTTCCATACAACAGCTGAAATTCCATATGCAACGTATGTGCTCTTGGATAGCAGTGGTTGGTATCTGATGGCATGGGCAGTCACTACACACACAATGACTTGATTACCTTTGTAACAGTATAAAGACCATTAGGAACAACTCCATTACATTCTTGCCTTAAGTGATTTAACTCCAACTTTACACAAAATGTATCTCCTGGTGTGACAAAATAGCTATTACAAACTGATTATTTCTGAAATATTGTAACAACAATGAGTTCTACACTTGGGTTTCTTGGAAATAGTAAAGGTCTGTTCTGAGTCTCTCTTTTACAATAAATCTTTATGGGCAAGTATGAAAAATTTATGAGGGCTCTTCATGGACTATATGAAATATGAAAAAACAAAAAGAATTGGAAGTGATCTATCAAATTGTATTTTTGCAGCTATCTTCATAAAGCACACAGGAGACTGCTGTGAGAAATTATTTGAGTGGAGGAGAAAAGGGCATTATTCCACATTTCCATAATAAGAAATTGCATACGACTGAACAAAGCTAATCTTCAACATAAAACCAATAATGATCTCATTGCACTCTAGATTTCAGTCATGTCTCTAGTTCACCAACACATGTATTTAACACATTTGCTTTTAGAAACAATATAAAATAACTGAATTTTTCACCATTTTAGTGTCAGGTCTTTGGCTTTAAGAGTTAAAATATTACCCTTCATTTTTAGTGTTGTTACCAACATAGACAGCTGTTACAGGAATGGTGGTGAAAGACTGCCTTTGCTTTGTTTTCATTCTTAGCTAATTATTACCTGCTAGATCTTACTTACAGTCCATTTCTGAAAGCTACTTTGAAGATCACTTGACTTGTTATGAAATTAAAGCCTTTCACTTGATTACTCTTCTGAGCACAGCAACACAGTGGTGACAGCCCAAAGAACATTACCAACGCTAATTGCTACAGGAGCAGAATAGGCGTTTCTGAAGCTACCCAGACCTCGAGGCTGTCTCTGACAGTGACTGCACAGCCACAACGTCTAATCACTGGCAGATACTAGAGAGATGCTTTCTCTCCACTAACTGATTTCTTCTGTCCCAACCATAAATAACTGGCAAATAACTGATACTACAAAACCATGTGCCACCTCCAAGATCTAAGTTGACTTTGAGCTATCAAACAATTGCAACTATAGGGAGTGCTTTTCAAATGTGAAATTCCTAGTTAATAATTGATCTTCTGTTTAGTAAATGAAATCATGGTAAATGTGGGATCAAGGGTCAATGAATTTATACATACCCCAAACCAACTGAAAAAATATTGTCATACTCCTCCTTTCATCTTTACTGCCTTCATCTTTCCTTTCCTCCACCACTGGTCTCAGGCAGACAAAGTTCCCCAAAATAAGGAAGAAAAAGACCAGGGTAGGAGAAATGCCAACTAAACACCACTCCAATAGTTCATCATGAATTATATGATGTATCTTCCCATGTCACAGGAAACAGCGAGGCTAAGCTGTAATATGGAAAAGATCTGCTGCTACCAACACTTATGAAGCCTTTTAGTCTGAGACTGCTGCAGCCCATATGCACTGTTTGATTATGAGTTTTGCCCAGTGAAATTTAATGGGGACTCCAGGATGCTACTGTGCATTGCACAAATTATTTAAAGGCTGTTCACATCTGCAGCCTGCTTGTCACCTGGGAAAATATATGTATTTAAATAGACCTTCTTAACATTTTATACATTAAAAAGCATTATTTTGTATGCATAAATTTTAAGCTCCTGATCTGGCATTATATTTTATGTCTCCTACTGACAAATTGTGCCAGTGTCAGATGAAACAGCTGCTCCCACCCAAAGTAGTCTCATAAATATTTCATCGCCCTCTCAGTTTGCAGAAGGCTGGGTGATGAGATGTTCCTGTTGGGGAGCACCACCATGCTGTGACCCACAATGCACAGGTCGGTTTGCCTGTGGGTTTGCCCTCAGTACCAGGCAGATCAGCAACAAACAAGACTATTTACTCCAGAAAGTGGCGAGTAATTTGCTCTAGCACAGCCAGGTTGGACCTAGGGGCTGTGCTGCATGCTGGGGTAAGGGAAGGCTCTGCTCCAAGCTTTCTCCCCTGCAACACAGCAGTCAACAAATATTGCACACAGAATGTGCATGCATGGATGGAAATAAAGTCCAGTCCTTCCCAGAGGCTGGTGCAGTTGCTTTTTGATGTGCAAAGTCTGGCTTTACTGGTTTCTCACCTGTATAAACACTTGTCCCTGTGCCCTTGACTACCTACAGCTCCTCAGGTAGCACATCTGCATTGAAGCATCCTGAATGATAGCAGAAACTTTACTTAATCACTTCATGTGCAAAATACATCACTACCTGTACAGCACCAGCTCTGCCTTTTCACCACACTCAGGCACACCATTAATTCTCCTTTGATTCCTGTTTCAATTTGGCTGTAGCAATGACTGGATAATGTCTTAAGACCTTTTTGAGGCACAGGGTGTGAAGGGGGGATAGGAGGGTCAGCGAGTCCTGCAAGAGGGAAAAAGGACCCCGAGTACGACATCAGCTTTAAGCCCTGGGATTCTCCCAATCAATGTGAATGGTAATTAGGTTACTGGGTCACTGAATGCAATTTTCATTAATGGCTCATGTTTAATTTGAACTGCTTTTCCCTATAGGTATGGATTAATGCTTAAGTATCTCAAGAGGAGCACGGCATTACAAAGAGGCAATATCTTTTATTAGGCCAACCAATATACTTAAACATGCAGAAGTTTTTAGGCATGCTAACCTCTTCTCCTGTCTCATTGTTATTCATTGTTTTCAGCAAACATATTTCAGCTTTATTTAATTATTTAAAGCCAGGGCTATTGATTTCTGGTTTAGTGGAATTTTAGCGTGTCATTCTAACTCCTAAATATTTCAGTTATTTCCAGTAAAACTGGCAATCTTTAACTTCTTTTATAAAAGTACAATGATATCAATATAAAATGATTTTTTTTTTCACTATTCCTAATACATTTATACTTCTGTAATCTCTTCACCCTCTCTGATCTTTCTTACTAACGGGTCAATAATTAAACTGAGGAGCATGGGTGATAAGAGGTATCTTTGTCCCATTGATTTGCATGGTAGCAATAAAACAGACTTTCTTATATTTTCCAGGTAGGTAACTGTCAGATTGTTAGGTTATTTTTGATAGATCATCTTGTCCCATTTTCAGAAGTGCTCCCCTTAAGCTCCTCTTTGCTATTCTGACAAGAAAAAGTCTTTCTGCTGATTTGGAAACCTTCCCCTGCAAGTAGAAGGCTGTACTGTGGGCAGTGTGCTCTTCAGCAGATCGTGCAGTGCAAACAGATGTGCAAACCAATCTACAGAGAAACACAGCTGGTGCCAAGGGCCCTGTGCCCACATGGCATGTTTTACAGCCTGGCTCCAGTGTGGCCACGTGAACATTAGAGAGCTGCTTTCTGATACCAGCGTTAAATTTATTCTGAGCACATGTTAGGACATTGTTTGACAATATGGTGAAACCTCTCTGAATGGAGCGCAAGGACCTCCGAATGATTCTTACGCCTTGTTATACTTCTCATCCTCTGAGTCAGCCTCCGCACCACTGGCTCCATGCGGCACGTGGTGTATGTTTAACCCCAGCCAGCACCATGTGGTCATCTGTACACTTGCAGATGTGTGACTTCAGTCACAAATCACTATCTAATGGCGCTAAATCCTTTCACTTGGTGTCCAATGGTTGCACTGTATCATGCTTATCCGTTACTCAAAACAAGCTGCTCCCCCAGGTCTGCCATAATCCTCCCATGTTCCATACTACATATTAGTTACTACCAACACCTCTTTGACACAGGATAAGTCCCCTACACTTGTATAAACATCATAAAACATAACCAGCACCACACCTCATTTTTAAAAGAACAGTTTTGCATGTGATTGATGGGGTGGTCTTAGATTGTTGCCATGGCATCTTTACGGACATCCCAAATCCAAAAATAATTTATCATGAAAAGCCAAATATGCTTTAAGAAATACTTGCAAAAATTATGATGCTCTGGAAATTGCAAAACCCCGATAAATTCCTATTTAGTAAAATAGTAAAATAAAATTAGTGTAAATAAATTCCTATAAATAATAAAATAAATTCCTATAGCAAATCAGTCGATTAAAAAATCCTCCTTTTGCAATGGTCTGCCTTTGCTACTTTAGACACTACAAAAACATCTTGTTATCCTGATGCTCTTCTTATCAAAGCATACAAGAGGAGGACAACATGAGAGGCTGTGTGCCAGGCCCAAGGACACAATGTTTAGGTAACTGACAAAACCCAGTGCCAAGTAGCCATTCTTCAGGTGTCAACTATGTGTTAGATAAGTAGGGTTTTTTTACTACATGACCAAATATCTCAGCTACTTGTCACTTGGCAAGAGCACTAATCTAATGACAGAGGATGTATTTTAAACTGCTTATTCATTTCAAGAGGCACTCTAGACCTTACAAGTCTGCTGTTGTAGCCAGTCCCTGGGCCAAGGAAGTGTTGCATTAATATCAAGCCCATGGCCAGGTTTGCCCTCTGAGAGAGGCTGCTTTGCCAGCAACCCTGGCGTCAGACCTCCCTGGCTGCTCATCCCCCCGTCACCACCACGACTCACTGCCACCTCCTCAGGTCTGTGACAAAGCAGCTTTGAGTCAGGGCTGCAAATCACATCACTGAGCTGAAATGCCAAAAATGCAGTATTATTTTAAGCCAGATCAGTTTACTGAGCCTCCTGAGAGCAGTTTTGCAGATACGACTGCAGTGGTATCTGCAAAACAAGGGCACCTGCAAGCCCTGGGGGCTGGTAACTCCTTTACCTCAGCTAGCTACCAATGGGGCCAAGTCATCAAAATGTACACTTCTGAGGCTGAGACAGCAACTCCTTCCCCACAGACACATTAGGCAACCCTAATGCCAACAGTCCTGGCGTATCAGTGGCTCCCTTTGCTTCTGGTGCCACTTTCAGCTGAAATGAGCACATAAACCAGGGAGATGACAAAAAACACTACAGAGTTCCGGTTATTTCTGTAAATATCTGAAAACACAGCTGCTTTCAGCAATGCTGGGCAAGATACCGTGAAGATCATCTCCTAGTACCATTGTCAGTGGTCAGATTGAATTTGTGGTTTTGGCTACAAAGTTTGCAATACTGCCTGCTTCTGTATATACAGACATTGGGTAAATATAGGAGGTAGGCAACGTGAAGAGGACTTGCAGAAGCATGCAGCTCGGAGGAGTGGGATGGATAGATATATGCAGTTCTTCATTAATAAGAAACAAGACAACCTTTGCCAAAATTCAGTGCGTCCCATTACCTTTGTCAGCTGCTGCTCGGAAGGAAAACCCAAACCAAACACAGTATTTGCTCTGCTGTCTGCCCACTGGCCGAACTTCTGTGATGTTTTAGTGAAGGTCATGTTAGGTGTGATTGTGCTGTTTATGATCACCTGTTTAAAAACACATCAAAAAGCATTAAAAAGTAGAAGCCACACTGGAAATGCATATCCTAGCAACAATATTATCCAAAGCAATTAGCAGTCTAAATTGGGAAATTGCTGTATTCAGAAGATTTTTTTCCCCAAACCAACCAGTTTCAATCTTGTCTTACGCCATGCAGGAATTCTGATGCTTTGCCTTCTTTACCCAAGGCACTGTCACAGTCTGGCAGTTAAACACGGCTGCAGAAACGTTACTGAACTCAAAGCAACAGCAGGGACAGGAGCTATAAAATTACCCTGGCAGAAAGGCAGATGCAAACCCCTCTTTTTCAGTGTTACAAAGGCACACGGCTTCTCCCACCACCCCACCAGGCACCCGGGATAGCTCAAGGCCTCCAAGCAGGGTGTCCATCAGCAACACCTGCCCTCAGACTGGAAGACTGAAGTGATATTTCACCATTTCTCTGTTTGGCCTTGGGCCTCCACAAGTAGGATGACAGAGACATGTCAGAAACTAAAAACAACAAAACCACAAGACAATTCTATGATTCTATAAGAATAAACTGATAGCTTAATAGTGAGTTTAACTTGGGAGCGTGGTGAAGCACACCACCAACATTCAGCACAAATACAGAATCACAGAATAGTTAGGGTTGGAAAGGACCTTTAAGATCGTCAAGTTCCAACCCCCCTGCCATGGGCAGGACACCTCACACTAAACCATCTCACACAAGGCTCTGTCCAACCTGGCCTTGAACACTGCCAGGGATGGAGCATTCACAACCTCCCTGGGCAACCTATTCCAGTGCCTCACCACCCTAACAGGAAAGAATTTCCTCCTTATATCCAATCTAAACTTCCCCTGTTTAAGTTTTAACCCATTACCCCAAAATGTGGGCCTCGAGACAAATATTCTGTCACTTTACACAAGTTAACTAAAATCTGCTTCACTACCAGCAACCTTGAAAGCAACAGCGGTTCTTGTAATTAAAGAAATAGCCAACAAGAGGAGAGCTGTTGGGATGAGGTCTCTAAGGAGCTTAGAGAAGCAAGCATAAAATGTAATCTTGCAAAAAGGACTGAGATATATGTCAGGTCATTATCAAAAGTCTCAACTTTATTTTCAAGATACATCATTATATGAGTCCAGAACTCCTTCCCCTCGAAATTAATTCATGTACAATGTTTTTTCTCCTAACAGAATATGAGCTTTCTTTAGTAATGCGTACCACCACTTCCAATATGCAAATTATGCAGTAATTAAGCCAAATCTGTGGGACAGTTTAATTAACATGATCAGGAAGTATCCTGGCAACATCATTTACTATGTATTCCAAGCAGTTTTTTCCTAGGCTATCATTTACATTTAGCAAAAAGTGTGAATTAAATTTACCAGAGAAAGAGCTTTCCTTGCCACTGTCTCCCCCCCTAACTTCAGACCTTTGTGCTGATGTTTTTACTTGCTTTCTTAGAAATTCCTCAGCTTTAGAGGTTCCTTCTATTTGCATCATCACTTTCAAATAAACACACAATTTCCTGCCTGCCCTGCCATTTCCTACCACTAAAAGTCTCATCCGAAGGATCAAGACAAAGGAGGGCCAGGGGGCTGGTACCACTGAAATTGGTTTTTGCATAGGAATAAACAGGGCAAGAACAAGGCGAAGGTGACTCTGGAACCAGCTGGCCAACACACACCAGACAGAATCAGCTTTCAGGGTCAAAACATCTTTTTAATGGCCAGTTGACAGGTAAAGGTGTAAGCACAGCTGCCCAGATGTGCTGTCCTCTGGCTAAGTCACACAACAGAAACATGGCCAAAATAAAATCTAAGTTTGATTTCAGAGAGGTAGGGGTTTGACAGTGCAAATTAAGTCTGAAGATACAAGGACTGCATGATACAGAGAGTAACCAGAACAGGAGGAAAAGTTACCACCAACCCCCAAAAATCAGGATGCTTTCCAAAAACTTTAAGGAAAGTGCTATATGTATATTTCTTCTTTAAAAACCTTACAGCAGACAGATGAACTACTTATAAATGTTTGGTTTCTCAAGTTACAGAATTTATTTTAGAAGCTCTGAAATACCCAGAAATTTCAAGTGAAAAAGGTATCATTTCAGCCCTACTGTGCCTATCAAATTAGACATCTGTAGAGAAAAATCTAATAAAATGACTTGCTCTATTGAAAGGCCAAAGCTTCACTCACTGGAAGCAGACTCTGAGAAGAATAAACTTCCATAACTCGCACAATTATCATTCAGTAAATATGAATACATGAAAGGAACACACCAAAGATATATTTTAGACCACAGTCCAGTATTATCAAAGATGTGATAAAAGGAATAATGAAGCTTGCAAATTGTAAACCAAGGAACACCTCACTGAGTGATGAAATGCACGACACTAGCTTAGCACCTTAGACATTAAATTTTCCTATAGCCCGTGCAGAATCCAAGAAAAGGTTGTGGTGATCACACACCTTCAGGGAAGTGACAGTACATCTGTTAAATTTATAATAAGCTGCAATTAGTGAAACTGCCAGGAAGCTGGCTCTGCCTTTTCTTCCCTTAAATCTCCCTGTCAGTCAGGCACTTCAGAAACACCACGCGCCTACAGAGAAGTGATAACCTGAGTAAAAGCTTAGCAGACTAAATCAGAGCTCATGGAAGCAGTTCAGAGGAGATGGGTTCTGTGAGTACATTGCACTTATCTACCCAGTCTTTCTCCCCATCGTGACCCCCCTGCCCCATCACATTTGCAGGAAGATGTCATAACACTGAACTTTGGGAACATCAGTCTGTACGTTCATTTCCCATGGAAATCTGGTCACTATTTCAGAACAGAGACACCGCATTGGCCAGGGAACAATCACGTTGGTTGTGTTTAGGAGAAAGAAAGGGCTTTATGATTTCAAAGAACAATGAAAACCAAGACTTACAAGTCCTCCTGTCAGGCAACCCAGCCTATCCCCCTCCCAAAGCTGGCTCACTCTTGGCTATGTGAGACCAGAAAGAAAGCACTCCCCACCACTTCTCCATCTCCCAGGCATAAGGTCTCCAGGCAGGGCAGAAGACAGGGGAAAAATTTGTGGCTACCACAACAGGCTAAATCAACCAAACTATGAAAATTCTGGTTTTTTTGTGAAAGGAGGAGCCAGAATTTTCAAGTTTCAAAAGAAAAAGGGTCTGAGAGGAAGGGTGCAGAAGAATGGGCACTATTTGAAAGCTGCCATGGGTAAGATGAGCCTGCAGGCTCTTTTCCATCCCTGCAATCCATTATTACAATTCTGTAACAAAAGGACACTCATCAGTTCAAATGGGCTTTTATGAAATAGCTTTGCATTTGGACCTCATTCGTATAATACACACATGGTGCAATTCCAGCTGCATCAGAAATCAGAATAAACTTACAGACTTTCATCCAGGGTAATGGATTCAAAAGGCAAACTACTCTCTAATCAAATGTAATCAATCCCTGAAGTGGTTAAAGAGTTCTCCCTAAAGACAAAGGCAAAGAGGAGATAACATAATAAGCACCTTATAGAATAACAAACTCATTCATAATACTCAGCTGTCTACATACGGTTTAAAAAAAATAAATATCTGCCTTTGCTCTCATCTGCACGCAAGCAGATCAGATGGCAAACATTCCTGGAACATCCACATAAGCCAAACAAAACCTCGTACTAATTTCACTTCCTTTGGGAGAAAAACAACCTTGACAGATCTAAGTTTTTATTTGAAGATGACACAGAAGAATGTTCGCAGTACAAGGTAGTGCTACATCAACCAGAAATTACTCCAGACGTTTAGAAACACAATGGGTATATTCATCAGATAAAAGTGCACGCAAATAAGCTGGCGTAGAGCAGAACATTCATAGGCTGTAACACACCCGTCCCGCTGCCTTCCCATGGAGAGAAACTGCCAACTAGATCAAGCAGGGAGAGGTCACAAGAAAACCTGAGTGCATAGAAGGAAAAAAATGTATTGGCTGCCCATGCTGCTCCTAATACATGAGCAGTGCCCATATATACAGCTTCCATTCCTTTTGGGGGTGCTTCAAGTATTCCAAGGTTTTCCTTCTCACACTCCCGATATCAAACAGTGCACTAAAGGGGAAAAGCCAATTGAGCTCCTAAAAGATGTTTTCCAAAGTCACGGTTTCATTAACGTAAGGTGAATGCGTGTGTTGGCTGCAGGAGCACAGAGGGAGTGAAGCTGGAGCAGCACATGGGGTTTTGCCAGCTTGGCTCACAGCACACGCCCTGGTCACATTGGCCCTGACTTGCCAGGTTCACAACAGGGGAAAGCGGAGGTGAGAGCAAGCTCAGGTACAAGGGAGGAGAGCAGCGACCACAGTGGGCTTTGGGCAGCGTCACTGGCATTGCCCTAGGGAGAAGAGCCAGTGCCCTGGCAGGAATCGGCCAGGACACTTCCTCTGATGAGACACCAAAGAGGACCATGAGCTGATTCAGCCAGCTCTGTCACCAGCTTCTCTACCTGGGGAAAGACCAAAATAAGAGCCATGAAATAGCTCATGAATTATTAGCCACATATATTGGAACTGCATATATTGAAACTGCATTAAATTAAATCAGAAAAGGGACTTTTACTTTGGGACAAGAGTGCCACATTAGGAATTATTGTGGGATTTTCCCTTTAAATTCACATCACCTGTTATTCTGAAGTAACCTCACCTCAACTAACCTCAGGAAAGCCCCAAGGCCCGAGGCCATGGGATGTGCTCATTAAGAAGTCACTACCTCCCCATCTCATTTTCACACCTCTGAATATGTGCTTTCCAGTTTGCAGCCCTAGTAAAAACTAATTTCCCCAACCCACCAGGCTGCTAATCTTCCGTAAAGATGTATCCCAGTCTAAAAACAGAATTTAAGAGGGAAAGAAGCTGCTAATCCCCTGGCCACAGCTATCACAGGCTCAGCAGGTTCTTCCAGCTCATCAAGTCGACATGAATCAGAAGGGTTTGTGACACTGGATGTGAAGATGAG